TGCAGCGCGCCCCGTACTGCGCGGGGCTGGAGGCAGCAGCCGTCCCAACAGCGTGCAGCCCATCGCCGAGCCAGGCTCAGGATTTTATCTTTCGAGTGCGTATTCGTCACTGCCCCGGGCTGCTCTGATGACTGATGCTGTGCAGCCAGGAACTCTTTTTGCCTGTTCTCTCCTTTCCCCTAGTGTTACACACAAGAGTTTTTCCCTTATTGTTCCCGATAATGAAAAGATTTTTCAGAGCTGACAGCACCCAGCTGGATCCTTCTTGTCCACTTTCCTATTTTAGATGCTGGACCTGAGCTCTTCCTCCTCTCTGCCTTACGTTAGGCGGGCACAGCTGCTCCGCTGCGAGCTTGCGCTCCGCTCTGTTGCTGAGATCCCAATGTTCAGCTTCTGGCTGCAGGTCCTCTAATTAAGAAATTCTGTCTTATTCTGCACCATGTGGCAGTGAAACAATCTGCTGGCTCTGGAGCCAGCAGGCAGCGGAAGTAGCCTGTGAGCCTCGTAGTACCCCGTACCAGCTTGCCAGGAAAGTCAGGAGCTGGACACAGGGCAGCTATGGCTGAGACATGGGCACCCTGGGACCGCACTGTCCAAACTGGAGATGTCTAATACACGGGGATGTTCCCAGGCGTAAGCATCTGCTGCCCCATGGTCTTCGTACATCAGGTCGTAGGATCTCAGTCCCGTCGTAGGTACCAGCACGAGCTCTCTGAATCTCACCCCAAACCCATGGAAGGAGTCTACAGTTGATAGGAATGACCTTGAGTCCCAAGTCCATGTTTTAACGATAGACACCTTGCCTGCCTTCTAGCTGGATCCTCTCTAGCTGGTCTGCCTGTGCGTTGCAGAGTGCGTGCTTGCTTGTGAATCTGTGCTGCCACTGCGCTGGGCCGTATCCAGCCTGCGCAGAGATAGGGGAGCATTGCAAATAGTGTGGCTATTATTAAATCCAGACCCTTTTCCCCGCAGCCCACCTGCTTCATCACTCATTCTCACATATACAGCATACTGTACATATCCTTTCACGTCACGCTGAGGATTTATCGCCTAGGCGGGACACCAGCGCTGCGGTAAGAGCAACACAGGAAATTTGTCAGCTCGCGGGCTTCACCGCCGTTCGGCCCGCCAGCTCCACAGGACGCGCTCTCGTTAGGGCGGGGGTGATGCAGTGTTTAATCTCCCAGCTCTACCGCGTCGGAGCCCGCTTCACCCTCCTGCTGCAAAGGGTCTGCCACCGGGGCGAGAGGACGGGAGAGTGCCCCCGTTGTTTTATACTGTGCTTCACGCCCTTCCGCAGAGGCGGCCGGCGCGTGCGCGGAGCCGCGCGGGCATGGAGGGGCTCAGGCCGTCCCTGAACTCGTTCACCCAGCCCTGCCTCGCAGGGCAGACCTCTCTGGGGATCACTGGCTCTGTCAACACGCTGCTTCGCTTCCTGCCATCTCGTTGCTCCAGCTCCTTTAGTTGAGCAAGCTGTCCAGCACCCGCAGGATTACCCTTTCGATTTACAGTCATTTCTTCCGAGTCTTAATGTGCACATTGAGCTTTCCAGGCCCCAAAAGGCCTGACGCTGCAGAGGTTTCTGCTCTCTGCATGCCAGGCTGAAGGGGCAGAGGCTGGCAGAGATGCTGCCTCTCAAGCGCGCCCAGGGCGGCAGCGGCACAGGGCATCCCGCAAAGGGGCACGGCAGGACGGAGGCTGGCCCAGCGCGGTCTCCGCAGAGCTAAAAGCAGGGGGGACTCCCGGCAGCTCCCGGCCACCTGAGGATGTCCTGCCTGGGTGAGGCTGCGGCAAACGAAAGCAACCTGAGGCGCTGCTTTACGCCGGGGCACGTGTCAGAGAGCGGAGCTTTGCTCTGAGTTTCAGTGTTATACACGAGAGACAGGAAACTATAGGATATGGAAAGAGGCGAGGAAGGAAAAACCGATGATGAAACGATTCCTCAGCTGCAGACAGCATTTACCTCGGAGTTATTTTTCGCATGTGAGCTAAACAACCTTATAAATGACTTTACCTCTGTGTTTGTACAGCCCCGACACACAAGATGAGGTGATGGCTGGGTGCTGTCGGTGTGACTGTCTCTTTGAAGCTTTGAAACTGAAACATCTACGTGAGCAGCCTCATTTTTAAAAGTACTGAGCAAGCCATGAGCCTCCAGGCTACGGAGTGCAGTAGAAATCCAGGATCTCTCCCGGAAGTCGGCCGATACAGTCAGGATTCGCACTCAAGCAGAACAGAGATTGCAGGGGAAACCGTCACATAAATTTTTGCCACACGTTTTAGCCTCGTCAGGGGAAAAAATAAGGGCTCACGCTTAGGGTACTAGTCTTGAACAAGAGAGAGAATTATTCAGTTCCCCGATCTCCCACAGATGCCCTGAGTACCCGGAACAAGTCATTTAGGCCCAAATTAAAGGTTTTTAAATGTGAAATCAAGGGGAATCCTGATGCCCCAGAGAGAGTTAGACACCTAGTCCCCTAGAGGGACTAGCCTTCAATTTTTCAGATTGCATGGTTGCCCTCTCCCCTGGAGATAAATGTTGGGTTTATTTTCACTCACAGGCAAACCATGGACCTACTCAGTTGTAAATGTAGGCATAATTTTGCCCTCAGCTTGTTAAGTGTCTATTCCCAGTGCTGGATGAGAGGAGGGGATTTCTCTCCAAGCCCACTTCAAAATGGCAATTTAAATGCTGCTCTTTGTCACTCTCCAACTTTGCAATTTGGTTGGACAAAACAAGACACATTCTTATTTTGGTTACTCTGATCCTGTGTGATTACAGTGTTGTGCAATATGGGATTGGGTGATTCCAGTGCAATCGAGCTCCCCACAATCAAGTAGACCCAGCATATCCAGGGGCTTATTCTGTTTTCAGTCTGGCCTCAAGATCTATGCTATCTTTCTACCTCATTAGTACTCTATGGCTGTGTGATGACCAGCGATAAATTCAGTGTTGGAGGAACAAACGCATCAAGAAAATGGATTATCTGCTGTCTCATCTTTCACTAGTATTGCCAACGACCTCATGAACCATGCTGTTATGTTTCCAAGGACAAAAGCTTCTTTTACTGCCTAGGTAAAAGTGCAATTTCTCTTTTTCCCCGTATTCTTCATTTTATGGCAAATGGTTTCCAAGAGGCTTTCAAAGGCTTTTTCCCATACAATTGTATTTGCATTTGATAAATTAAGTGGTCGTGAAGGATGGCAGGTTGGAAAGTCAGTGCTCCAATCGCTCTTAGGTTTGATACACTTGATAATCGCCAGAGAGGTTAGGTCAGATACATAGCTACCACATTCATTCATCTGTAGTGCGTTTATATCTGCCCCATCAGTGCAAGCCAACCATACTTCAAGCTTCTCCACTTTGCAGCTCCACTAATTCCACATTCTTGCCCCAAAAGATCAATTTGAGGAGTATAACGAAGGAAGGAAGTTCATCCCTCCACCACTTTTGGCCTTACCTATTCAGCTGGGGCCAAGTTTCACCAAACCTCTAATTGTCATGTCAGCAGCCGCTGATGTGAACAGAGCTGACAGGGCCATCTCATTTCACCACCTCCCTCCAGCTTCTCCTTGGTAACTATGGATCTAGGAGAAACGCATGAACTGCACTCTGGAAGCAATGATCTGTTAAACTCTGATGTGGCAAATAAAGGACACATCTCAGAGATTTCCCAAGCATTTCAGCGGGAGGGGAGGAAAAGGAGAAGCATTTCCAGCTGCCTTACTGGTTCCGCCATGAGCAGCCTCCTGGACCACCTGGCACCCCCAAGTCATCTCCTATTAGTGAATCCCAGTCGCTGCATCGCTCTGCGCGGTTATTGCAGCCAGACCTCGGGCTAAATCACCGAGGCCCTGCGGAGGGCCGCCACCGCTCCGAACAGCGAGCGCACCCTGGTACTGACACTCACTACATTTGCAGCCGCCCATGCGTGTAATCACATAGCTTCCAAATGCTGCGAGTAA